ACCTCTACGGGATGGATCGGTGTCCCGTATACGGGACGGTTGAGCTTGTTTGAGGAGAGTGCATAACAACAAAAAACTTATCACGGCAACTGGTTTGATACATTCACCTCTGAAGGTAAATAATGTACTTACATTCAGTAATCTTGCTCTGATTTGTCATCCTAAGGGTCCCAGAGATAAAATGTAGCATAGTTTTGTTTGATAAAATACATTTTTATATTCAAATGTAGGAACTGGGTTCTACAGTTTGAACCCCTGCTGTCTCTGGCTTCACACCCACCATGCCTGGCCATCTAGAAAGTTAGTGTATAAGCTAATGATCCATTATGTATGACATTCCTGAGAGTGTGTAAACTTACATTTTGTATTACCATATCATTTTTGTATGTTTTCTATAGTTATGTACTTGAAAATGTATTAATTGACCAATTCGGCACATTTGGGCAGACTTTAAACAAAATAGTCCAGTATTGCAATCCTTCACTGGATCAATCTGAAACTTTGCACACACACTTCTTCCATCTAGTGGCCAAAATCTAAATTGCACCTAAACTGCAATATTATATTGTGGCCTTTCTCTTGCATTTTAAAGATGATGGAACAAAAAAATTAGATAAAACGCCTGTTTTTTTGTTTGTATTATCTTTTACCAGATCTAATGTGTTATATTCTCCTACATTAATTTCACCTTTCCACAAACTTCAAAGTGTTTCCTTTCAAATGGTATCAAGAATATGCATATCCTTGCTTCAGGTCCTGAGCTACAGGCAGTTAGATTTGGGTATGTCATTTTTGGCGAAAATTGAAAAAAAGGGTCCGATCCTTAAGAGGTTAAATAACTATTAAAAGCTTCTTAATTAAAAGTAATTAGGTCATTTAAAAATCATCTGAAAGCAAATGATCTCAAATCAGGTAATGCCAAATTTCAGTCTGAAGGAAGTATGCTTTGAATTAATTTCCCTCAGTCATTTCTCTCACACTCCATTTTAACGAGTCCTTGTGAGCATCAGAGAGGAAAACAGAAAGCATGTACATGTTCCTGAGAACATGCTTGCCATTATGGAACAGAACTTCAGATTTTGGCTGTTTTTTTTTGTTGCAGATCTTTTATTAATGTTCAGAATTGATCAAAGGGCCCGTCTAAATTAATAAATGGGCCGAATCTGGCCAGCGGGCCGCCAGTTGAATAGCCTTGCTTTATGTTTACCATGTTCCATTTAGCTTTTGAGGATACAATATATACTGAACAAAAATATAAACGCAACATGTAAAGAAATACAAATCCCAGACATTTTCCATACCCAAAAAAACCTAATTTCTCTCAAATTTTGTGCACAAATTTGTTTACATCCCTGTTAGTGAGCATTTCTCCTTTGCCAAGATAATCCATCCACCTGACTGACAGTTGTGGCATATCAAGAAGCTGTTTAAACCGTATGATCATTACACAGATGCACCTTGTGCTGGGATCAATAAAAGGCCACTTTAAAATGTGCAGTTTGTCACACAACACAATGCCATAGATGTCTCAAATTTTGAGGGAGCGTGCAATTGGCATGCTTCCAATTTGAATGTCCACCAGAGATTTTGCCAGAGAATTGAATGTTCATTTCTCTACTATAAACTGGCTCCAACGTCATTTTAGAGAATTTGGCAATACGTCCAACCGGCCTCACAACCGTAGACCATGTGTAACCACGCCAGCCCTGGACCTCCACATCCGGCTTCTTCACCTGCGGGATTGTCTGAGGAGTGGTGGGGGGAGTGCTGAGGAGTATTTATGTCTGTAATAAAGCCATTTTGTGGGAAAAAAATCATTCTGATTGGCTGGGCCTGGCTCCCCAATGGATGGGCCTGGCTGCCAAGTGGATGGGCCTATGCCCTCCAAGGCCCACCCATGGCTGCACCCCTGCCCAGTCATGTGAAATCCATAGATTAGGGCTGTCACGCCCTGATTTATGGGACTCTTGTATGTTGAGTCAGGGTGTGGATATCTATGTTAGTATTTCTATGTTTTCATTCTATGTGTGTGTTTCTATGTTGGCCGGGTGTGATTCCCAATCAGAGGCAGCTGTCGCTCGTTGTCTCTGATTGGGGATCATACTTAAGTAGCCTGTTGGCACTCATTAGTTGTGGGATCTTGTTCTGTGTAGAGGCTTGTATTGTGTTTAGCCTGAGGACGTCACGTCACGTCATGTTGTTTTGTTGGTGTGTTTATCGTTATAATAAACATGTATGCATTTCACGCTGCGCCTTGGTCTGACCCGTCCTTAAACGACCGTGACAGAAGATCCCACCAAAAATGGACCAAGCAGTGTGCCCAGGAGCAGACATCATGGACATGGGAGGAGATCCTGGACGGAAAGGGATCCTGGATATGGGAGGAGATTCAGGGTGGGATGGATCGCCGTCCTTGGGAGGAGACAGTGGAGGCCCGGTTTAGAGAGGAGCAACGGCAACACAGAAGGCGCCGGCCGAGGAGGAAGCCCGAGAAGCAGCCCCAATACATTTTTTTGGGGGGGGCACACGGGGTGGTTGGCGGAGCCTGGGTTCAGAGCAGAGCCAACTCCCCGTACTCACGCTAGGATGTGTGTGACCGTGCAGGCTTCGTGTTATACGGAGCTACGTACTGTGTCGCCAGGGCGCCGGCACAGTCCTGTACGTCCTGTGCTAGCACCACGCACGTGCCATGCGAAAATGGGCATCCAGCCAGGACGGGGTGTGACGGCTCAACGCTCCTGGTCTCCAGTACGCCTCCTCGGTCCAGCATATCCTGCGCCGGTTCTACGTACTGTATCGCCAGCACGCGTGCACAGCCCAGTGCGTCCTGTGCCCAGTGCGTCCAAGCCAGTGGTGCGTGTTCCCAGTCCGGCCTGGCCCGTTCCTGCGCCCCGCACCAAGCCAGTGATGCGTGTTCCCAGTCTGGCCCGGCCCGTTCCTGCTCCTCGCACCAAGCCAGTGGTGCGTGTTTCCAGTCCGGCCCGGCCCGTTCCTGCTCCCGGCACCAAGTCAGTGGTGCATGTCGCCAGTCCGGCCCGGCCCGTTCCTGCTCCCGGCACCAAGCCAGTGGTGCGTGTCGCCAGTCCGGCCCGGCCCGTTCCTGCTCCTCGCACCAGACCAGTGGTGCGTGTTCCCAGTCCGGTACGGCCCGTGCCTGCTCCCCGCACCAAGCCAGTGGTGCGTGTTCCCAGTCCGGCCCGGCCCGTTCCGGCTCCTCGCACCAAGCCAGTGGTGCGTGTTCCTAGTCCGTTCCGGCCCGTGCCTGCTCCTCGCACCAGACTGGAGCCAGAGTAGTCCGCTCCACCGGTGCCCAGTTCAGCTCCGGTCAGCGGATCCACTCCGGAACCAGAGCAGTCCGCTCCACCGGGAGTCGCAGTCCAGCTAGGTCGCTGCTCCTCCGGATCTAGAGCAGTGACGCGGCTACACCGAGATGGCCTAGTCAGTTCGGTCAGCTTGCTCCACGTCCAGCCAGCTAGGAGCAGTCCGCTCACACCGGTGCCTAGGTCCGGCTTCCGGGTCAGCAGCTCTCACTCCGGAGTAAGAGCAGTCGCGCTCCACCGGTGCTAGTCCGACACCCGTCGATGCTGCTCCACTCTCCACTATTCACGCCCTAATTTATGGGACTCTTATATGTTGAGTCAGGGTGTGGATATCTATGTTAGTATTTCTATGTTTTCATTCTATGTGTGTGTTTCTATGTTGGCCGGGTGTGATTCCCAATCAGAGGCAGCTGTCGCTCTTTGTCTCTGATTGGGGATCATACTTAAGTAGCCTGTTGGCACTCATTAGTTGTGGGATCTTGTTCCGTGTAGAGGCTTGTATTGTGTTTAGCCTGAGGACTTCACGTCACGTTGTTTTGTTCGTGTGTTTATCGTTATAATAAACATGTATGCATTTCACGCTGCGCCTTGATCTGACCCGTCCTTAAACGACCGTGACAAGGGCCTAATGAATTTATTTAAATTGACTGATTTCCTTATATGAACTGTAACTCAGTAAAATCTTTGAAACTGTTGCATGTTGCGTTTATATTTTTGTTCAGTATAACTAACTGTGCCACTAGAGATCCTGGTTCGAATCCAGGCTCTGTCGCAGCCGGCCGCGACCGGGAGACTCATGGGCGGCGCACAATTGGCCCAGCGTCGCCCAGGGTAGGGGAAGGAATGGCCGGCAGGGATGTAGCTCAGTTGATAGAGCATGGCGTTTGCAATGCCAGGGTTGTGGGTTTGATTCCCACGGGGGGCAAGTATAAAACAAAATATGTATTCACTAACTGTAAGTCGCTCTAGATAAGAGCGTCTGCTAAATGACTAAAATGTAAATAGGCAGCCTACTTCATCGCAAAAAGATTATTGGCAGCATTAATCAATTTTTACATATTTAAGCATTTTCTTTTAAATACATTTTCTAAATGATTTTTGTCAAGGAATTATAATAATCTTCGCCCAATGCTATAAGTACAGTTACTTAAAAATAAAAGTGACAAAAAGTAGGTTAATATGACGAAATGTAAGTCTAATTGATGTGATATCATTGATTTGACTCAGTCACTGCAACAACCTATTTCTTAAAAGCCTAATTGAAAGCGCTCTCATCATCAGCACCTTGGACAGCGGTTTTAGGCTACATGGAAATCCTTGTTTGCTGTCCCTGCCTGACTTGCTCTAAATTTGACAGCAGCGTGTCCCTGTAAAACGTGTAGGCTGGCTACTCTACTAATATGTTTCATTATACACTGGGTTATATTAAATTGAGTTGATCATGTAGTAAATAAAACCCACAACAACTTGTGCTTAGCCTACAACTTCACCCAAATACAACACACTGACGCTTGCCAAGTTGTCCTCGAGGACAAAACAACATAGCTCAGGTCAGAAACGACAAGTGATTTTCCCCTGCAGGGTATGAACCTCGGGGTATAATTGGGATTAGCGAAGTACGTGTCATCCCTCTCAGACAACACACCGTGCGCCGAAAAAATATTTTTAGACAGGATTTAGAGAAAGAGGAGCCGGTCAAGTGTTTTCTCGGAGGAAGCACCTTTGTGTCTTAGAAAGCAGAGAGCGCGCAGCTCCTTGTATGTCTCGGCAGCTGGGACGTTCGGACAACAAAATGTCAGTCAATAATGCTTTTCAAATGGCTAACATTCCATGGAGGAATAACACTTTTACCATGTCAAATAAAGACCCATCTTTCTCGGATCAAGGGGAGACCATTATAGGAGTATACCTGTTGGTGCTAGGTGGGTATACATTTAGAGAACTTGCTTATGGAGTTGCTGGAATGTAATTTCGTTTTTAAAATGCAGCTTTGCTTTTATGATGCAAATACATTATTTAGTTTTGCTTTCATGGCTAAAAATCTGGAAATATGTCATTAATGGCTTGTTTACCACTACATAATTTCTCTATTATTTCCTAAACGTTAAGGTAAGATGAATGACAGTACTTATTTACTAATTTACAAAATATGTGATTCAGAGTAGCCTACATTATCTTGTTCTTTTTTAACTCTACCATGTGTTGATATCGCAGTATACAACAATTGGGTGAAGAGTTCGATTGCACTGCAGAATACAAATTACCAATGCCAGAAAGCTTTGTTATTGCAGTTGTTATACTACTGTCAGTGTAGTGTATGGGCAACAGTTAGTGGATTTGGTGCTATAAGTAGCTCAGGACAAATCTTCTCCAGGGAGAGAGGTGAATCCTGCAGCCATTAAGATCCTGTCTAAGCCATGGAAATCGTCAATCAAGAAAGGATGGCAGTCAGCCAGACTTTCTTTAAGAGAGGGCAGAAAGACATATAATTCCCTGTTATTTGGTGCAAATATATTTAAAATGATCCTGACTTTTGAAATCAATAGGGTTACTGTAATTTTAGTTAGAGGATAGGTAGGCTACTCAGTGCACCTACTATTATCTCTAAAGGAAATTTCATGAAGGAAGATTTATGCTCATTTCAGCATTTGAATATTTAGTGTTTGAAGAGAAGGTCAGTAGGTTAAAATCACAGATGAGGCACTTTGTCACCTCAATGCTTCATGCTGCTTTATGAGCTGCATTTTGAATGGCTACAATTCCATTACTTTTCACAAAACTGAAGAGGCCTTTGCTCATAGGTAGTGTGGGACACACTGGTAATAGATGGGGTGAGTTTCCCTCTATGTAGTGCTTTTAGTGTCTGGAAAATAGCTATATAAAGCCAATCAGTTAGTATGTCAATGGGTTTTTTCCTCGTCAGGTTGGCTGTCGTGGTTCGGCAACAGTATCGTGATCTTTGTCCTGTACAAGCAGCGTGCGTCACTGCAGCCCACGGACTATCTGACCTTTAACCTGGCCATCTCCGACGCCAGTATTTCCATCTTTGGCTACTCCCGAGGGATCCTGGAGATCTTCAATGTGTTCCGGGACAACGGATACCTGGTTACCTCCATCTGGACATGCCAGGTAGGCAATGAGGGGATCTGGTTGGAGGGGGAAAAGTTGTTTTGTGAGATGCTTCCAATTTGTATGCTTCAAATTAGTATTGTATGTGAATGGTACTGTGTTGCATGTGTAGCATGTGCCATCCTACTGCAGGATCCGATACTATACTTACTTACAGCAATACTCACAAAACACAGACATTACCGCTATCCCATCAAACATGGCATTATTGGACAGGACTTTAGTAGTTCAGGTCTCCTGGAAGGTGACGTCACTGTGAGATGCTAACTTCGCCATCCTCTACACAAATGTCAAACACACAACCAGGACAACTTACCTTTATGATTGCAGATTTGCAAAAACATTGCTCTATGGCTTTGTTCCTATTGACAGTTCTTTATAATTTCCAGCCAATTGCCTAGTTAAGAATATCAACAGTCCACTCAGAATGGAAGACTAAGTAAATATAACACAATGGGCAAAGCATAGAAATGTGTTGCAACAGATCATTATATTCACTACACTACAAAGGTTCTTTGGGGGGATGGTCCTTTCTATTATTAGCTTGGTGACGAATAGAATATTAACAATGGGTGCTCCGGACAGTTGATAATTAATTCAATAAAAGGTAGCGTGTTGGCATATTCATCACATTGAGTGATGACGATGAGTCACCTGGAAGAAGCGAGATGGTGGTTTTACAAGGTGTCACAAAGGCATTATATTGCTAACTACAGCACAGGAGAAAAGGTCTATAGGCTTCACCTGAAGTAATATAATTTTAACACTATCTTAGGGGGGAATAAGAATGCTTTAGCCACATCAACAGCCAAACATAGATGGATGGTTAAGGTCTGGTACATGCTTATTGCATTTGATAAAGAGGAAGCGTGATTTGCACAAGGGTCAATATCAATAAGGTGTCCTGTAATGTCTGTTTCCTTGTGTACGCGTGATTAACGGGCAATATCCATTACCTTGTTTTATTGGGGTCTCTTCTTGAAAATATACATTTTAGTTCAAGCCTATCAATCAATTTACCAGATGGGTTTTTGTTTTGGTGCACAGTGTGAGAAAATGGCACCTAAAAAAAAAAACCGGAATGCAATGTCTGTGAAATTACAATGTAATCCCTGTTTTATTTGTATCAAACTTGTTAACACAACAACAGTATGTGTGTTTTAATGTTAATTACAGTTATTTCCCCAAGCAGGTGTTGCTGCTTGTTTGGTACAAATCGTAGTTGAATAATGTCCAACTAACACTGAACAAAAATATTTTCATTAACTATTGGCCAATGCTAAAAACAACAGGAAAACAACTAAATGAAAACTACTGTATGAAAACAAACAAAGGAGAGAGTAACAGGGCAGAGAGAGAGAGATGAGGAAAACATAAATATGAGGAAGAGAGAAAGGAGAGTTTCTTCTGAGAAAGAAAAGTGGTGAAAGAAAAGTGGTTCACAGGTCAACATTATCCCTGAGGTCAGCAGACATTGAAAGCTGGATTATAGAATGTCTGGGTCAGAGTGAGGTCAGAGAGTAGTCATTTACATTTACATCATTTAGCAGACGCTCTTATCCAGAGCGACTTACAAATTGGTACATTCAACTTATGATAGCCAGTGGGACAACCACTTTTTATTTTATTTTATTTTTATGGGGGGTGGGGGAGGGGATGGTCAAAGATGAGATTGCGGACCATAGGATAAAATCTAAGTTTAGACATTTCTAACATATACTGTCCTAATTTTTGTAAGAAAAGTGAAGATAATATGAAAGATTAATCTCTCGTGAAATTGTATGACTTGACTTAAACCATATTTTTTTTATAGACAAAAATATTTGATAAAATATGTGAAAAGTCCGGACTGGGTTTAATGGGTACTGAATGTACCCTTTAAGCCCATGGGTATTCCAAATAAGCCCACCTCTTAAATAATCCATTTGAATTATTTCCTAATGCTGAAAACGTACAAACTGACATATCTTATGTTAACTTAAATTATAATAATCTCCCCCAACGTTATTAAAATCAACTGATCATTACTATTCATCATGGAAGTATCACTCATAAAAGGGGGTGTCCAATCATATCCGCAGAGAACAATGTGGGCCCAGGCTTTTGTTCATGCCAACCAGTACACACCTGATTCGACTAATCAACTAATCATAGACTTCAACCAAGACTTGATAAATTGAATCAGTGTTACTGCTTGGTTAGGACAAAAACATGCACCCTCACCGGCCTTCTGTGGATAAGACGCCATGCACAAAGACCATAACACAAACAACTTTTAAAGAATTATCTAAAAGCTGGTTCACATTTGCTGTACTCTTATTCTTGTTCATTAGTTCAACTTGTCTTCCTAAAGCCTGTCTGAAGACAGTTTAACATCTCCCTCTCTACTGTTGTATTACAAAGGTACACGTGCTGAACGAAACAACAGAAACACCTGGATGAACGAGGGACAACCATATGACAATGCCCCTGGCTCTAACTGCATAAGTAGTCATCCAATAATCATCGTCTCGTCCCTCATTTGTTTCCATTTTTGTCCACTACTTTTAGGTCTTCCATCCCTGATTTCCTTCAACCCTGATCTTATTCTACTCTCTCTGCATCAATGACTACCTGTCCACTCCAAACGTCTTGCAGAGAGAGTACAGAGGCTTTTAATTGTTCTTAATTGTTTTTAATCTTGTTAAACGCACCATTGATAGATGCATAATATGCATAAATGTAGTTTGAGCATTTTAATGAAAATAAATCTGAAGAAAAATCATTTATGCTCAGGTTCATTGAATATTAGGGATATCAACACACAATCTCCATGTGTTTCAATGCAAACCGGGCTACTGGGCTTAATTGGAACAACAGTGATTTATGGTAAAAAAAGACAGAATAGCAAAGTTCAGTCAAACTATTTGGAAACCAATGGTTTTCGGGTATAAATATACACTATAGACTACAATATAATGTGATGTTAGTTTTGTTCATATTGAACAATATTATTTAATTTTCATTTACATTCTGTATAGAGTGAGTGCTTTTTGTGCTACTGTACCCTTTAAACCCACCTGAGATAAATGTCAAATTTACAAAAAAGGCATCCATGTATAAAAATGCAAGGTTCATTTAACAGTAAAATAAGACAAAATGAATTTAAAAAATGTGAGCTGTGAGTGCTTAAGATCTGTTATATTGTTGTGGTTCACCAAGTTATGTTGCTACTGTATTGACTGACATTTGGTACGACTGCTAGCATGAAAAACCCATCTTTTCAATTGGCAAGAAATAGTAATTAATACCTACAGTGAGGGAAAAAAGTATTTGATCCCCTGCTGATTTTGTACGTTTGCCCACTGACAAAGAAATGATCAGTCTATAATTTTAATGGTAGGTTTATTTGAACAGTGGGAGACAGAATAACAACAAAAAAATCCAGAAAAACGCATGTCAAAAATGTTATAAATTGATTTGCATTTTAATGAGGGAAATAAGTATTTGACCCCCTCTCAATCAGAAAGATTTCTGGCTCCCAGGTGTCTTTTATACAGGTAACGAGCTGAGATTAGGAGCACACTCTTAAAGGGAGTGCTCCTAATCTCAGTTTGTTACCTGTATAAAAGACACCTGTCCACAGAAGTGATCAATCAATCAGATTCCAAACTCTCCACCATGGCCAAGACCAAAGAGCTCTCCAAGGATGTCAGGGAAAGATTGTAGACCTACACAAGGCTGGAATGGGCTAGGTCCATCGCCAAACAGCTTGGTGAGAAGGTGACAACAGTTGGTGCGATTATTCGCAAATGGAAGAAACACAAAAGAACTGTCATTCTCCCTCGGCCTGGGGCTCTATGCAAGATCTCACCTCATGGAGTTGCAATGATTATGAGAACAGTGAGGAATTAGCCCAGAACTACACAGGAGGATCTTGTCAATGATCTCAAGGCAGCTGGGACCATAGTCACCAAGAAAACAATTGGTAACACACTACGCCGTGAAGGACTGAATTCCTGCAGCGCCCGCAACGTCCCCCTGCTCAAGAAAGCATATATACAGGGCCGTCTGAAGTTTGCCAATGAACATCTGAATGATTCAGAGGAGAACTGGGTGAAAGTGTTGTGGTCAGATGAGACCAAAATGGAGGTCTTTGGCATCAACTCAACACGCCGTGTTTGGAGGAGGAGGAATGCTGCCTATGACCCCAAGAACACCATCCCCACCGTCAAACATGGAGGTGGAAACATTATGCTTTGGGGGTGTTTTTCTGCTAAGGGGAGAGGACAACTTCACCGCATCAAAGGGACGATGGACAGGGCCATGTACCGTCAAATCTTGGGTGAGAACCTCCTTCCCTCAGCCAGGACATTGAAAATGGGTCGTGGATGGGTATTCCAGCATGACAATGACCCAAAACACACGGCCAAGGCAACAAAGGAGTGGCTCAAGAGGAAGCACATTAAGGTCCTGGAGTGGCCTAGCCAGTCTCCAGACCTTAATCCCATAGACAATCTGTGGAGGGAGCTGAAGGTTCGAGTTGCCAAACGTCAGCCTTGAAACCTTAATGACTTGGAGAAGATCTGCAAAGAGGAGTGGGACAAAATCCCTCCTGAGATGTGTGCAAACCTGGTGGCCAACTACAAGAAAGGTCTGACCTCTGTGATTGCCAACGAAAGTTTTGCCACCAAGTACTAAGTCATGTTTTGCAGAGGGGTCAAATACTTATTTCCCTCATTAAAATGCAAATCAATTTATAACATTTTTGACATGCATTTTTCTGGATTTTTTTGTTTTTATTCTGTCTCTCACTGTTCAAATAAACCTACCATTAAAATTATAGACTGATCATGTCTTTGTCAGTGGGCAAACGTACAAAATCAGCAGGGGATCAAATACTTTTTTCCCTCACTGTATGTAGTATGCTATCATGTGCATATATCAACACATGAATCTCTTAATTTTACATTAAGTGTGATCGCTTATCTGAGAAGGTACAAAAAATATCTAAAAAATGTGTTTATCTGAGAGTCACCTCCACACCAAAGTTTTTTTGCAGCTTTGAAATGGACCGCTAGTAGGAACTTACACATAACTGTCAATAACTTAATAATACAACATCTGATTGTTATTTCCAAAACAGTTTTTATTCTAAGACAATCAGATGAATTGGTTGAAACATTAAACAGCAGGAAATGTTTTTTTATATTTTTTTATCCAAAGATGGAAGTGGGCTTCATGGGAACGTGGGCTTAATAGGTACGCTTACCCTAACAAGCAGCAAGTAAAATGCATGATGGGACATGAACTCTGACATATAACTACTTTCCAACCAGACCTGGGTTCAAATACATGTGTATTTGAGTATCTGGTATTTAAAATACTTTTTTTCTGTGTACTTGAGCTTAAAAAAAATACACAGCCCAAAACAAGTACTTTTATTGAAATATTTGAATGGTTATTCGTAAAAACCAAATCTACCAAATTGTATTTGAGAGTATTTTCAAATACTTTCCAAGTGTATTTCCAAATACATTAAAATATTAAACTACTTAAACTACTTTTCAAATAAAATATATCTGTATACTTACTTTGAATGTATGTAAAAGGAATTGAGATATTTGAAAAAGCATTTGAACCCAGCAGGTCTGTTTCCGATTACAGAGAAACCCCATTTGCAGAAAATGCTATGTTGCTCGAAGCATCCCACCAGGTGTTTTTCAAATTATGGTCCAAGGTTTTTCCTCCAATAGACATTTGAATTGTCCTCCAAAGTGCAGTGGTGGAAAAAGTACTGAATTGTCATAGTTGAGTAAAAGTAAAGATACCTTAACAGAAAATGACTCAAGTAAAAGTGAAAGTTACCCAGTAAAATACTACTTGAGTAAAAGTCTAAAAGTATCTTGTTTTACATGTACTTAAGTACAGTGGTAGAAAAAGTACTCAATTGTCATACTTGAGTAAAAGTACAAAGTAAAAGTAAATGCTATACATCAAATTCCTTATATTAAGCAAACCAGACGGCACAAATGTTGTATTATTTTTAATTACGGACAGACAGGGGCACACTCCAACACTCAGACATAATTTACAAACACAGTATTTGTGTTTCGTGAGTCCACCAGATCAAAGGCAGTAGGGATGACAAAGCGTTATATTGATAGGTGCCATAATTCTGTTGTGCTTGAGCATTCTAAATGTAACAAGTACTTTTAGGTGTCAGGGAAAATGTATGGAGTAAAAAGTACATTATTTTCTTTAGGAATGTAGTGGAGTAAAAGTAAAAGTTGTCAAAAATATAAATAGTAAAGTAAAGTACAGATACCCCAAAAAACGACCTAAGTAGTTACTTAAAAGTATTTTTACTTACGTACTTTACACCACTGCCAAAGTGTATCTGACCGTGAGGCAAAAGTGAATGGGGCTTGGATGTAAATATATTAGATTAGATTAAGTAATCCGATCAGTCAAAGTACATTGGGTCCTGTCTCCACTAGGAAGACAAGTTAATTCGGTAGAAGCTGTCAATCTTGATCAGACATACTCACCACTGCTGACCATAGCTGTAATGGACTGATCTTTAACTCCATTCAATATACAGTTGAAGTCGGAAGTTTACATACACCTTAGCCAAATACATTTAAACTCAGTTTTTCACAATTCCTGACATTTAATCCTAGTAAAAGTTCCCTGTCTTAGGTCAGTTAGGATCACCACTTTAATTTAAGAATGTGAAATGTCAGAATAATAGTAGAGAGCTTTTATTTCTTTCATCACATTCCCAGTGGGTCAGAAGTTTACATGCAGTGGGGAAAAAAAGTATTTAGTCAGCCACCAATTGTGCAAGTTCTCCCACTTAAAAAGATGAGAGAGGCCTGTAATTTTCATCATAGGTACACGTCAACTATGACAGACAAATTGAGAAAAGAAAATCCAGAAAATCACATTGTAGGATTTTTAATGAATTTATTTGCAAATTATGGTGGAAAATAAGTATTTGGTCAATAAGAAACTTAACAAAAGTTTCTCAATACTTTGTTATATACCCTTTGTTGGCAATGACACAGGTCAAACGTTTTCTGTAAGTCTTCACAAGGTTTTCACACACTGTTGCTGGTATTTTGGCCCATTCCTCCATGCAGATCTCCTCTAGAGCAGTGATGTTTTGGGGCTGTCGCTGGGCAACACGGACATTCAACTCCCTCCAAAGATTTTCTATGCGGTTGAGATCTGGAGACTGGCTAGGCCACTCCAGTATTCAACAGCAGGATACTTGTTTTCAACTTGATCTTCTGAGTGATTGCGGTCCTTCAACTTCTGCAAGAACAGTGGATGTCTGTTTTTTCTACTGTTTTGTATTTGTTTTGAGATTCTCTTCCCTGCACCTTCCCCCTCTAAGCATCACTAACGGTATTGTTGGTCTTTCCCAGGTGGACGGCTTCTTCACCTTGGTCTTTGGCCTCAGCAGCATCAATACTTTGACTGTCATCAGTGTCACAAGATACATCAAGGGATGCCATCCGAGTAAAGGTAAGGCACTGTGACACGACCTTTAACCTTTAATCTTCTATCTTCATCTCAATGATTCCAATAAAGTTGGAAGAAAAATGCCCCTGTAGGCTAGATGTTCTAGTCAGAGACACAATGATCTTGTGGGAGCCTTTCTTTTAACTTTCAACTCTTTTCCTTTACCTAGCTCACTGCATAACCAACACAACCGTAGGAATGTGCCTAATATTCATCTGGTTGGGGGCTGTGTTCTGGTCGGGTGCGCCCCTTCTGGGCTGGGGGAGTTACACAGGTGAGATAAACATGGCTAGTAATCATGTGACATACTATTTTATACAGGGGCACTTACTTCTGTTAGGATCTTGTAAAATTCTGGTTGGGCAACATTTTCAAGATTTGTATGTGCACAATGACGACAAAAAAATAATAGCACTAAAGCAAGTTGTTATCTAAAACATTTGCAGAAGACAATCTTTAAACGAGAACTGACCATATTTTGACATATGTGGACCTTTTTTCACCCTGACTTTTTTAAGGGCCATAATAGAGGAAATTCTTCTTAAATTTTAAACAATCTTCACCTGAACAAATACAAAAAAAATTCTAACATACGCAAAAACGTTTTTACCTTCATGTGTTTGTATCTCAATCTCCTCCTCCTTTTAGATCGTGGATACGGAACATGTGAAATCGACTGGGCCAAAGCCAACTACTCCACCGTCTACAAGTCCTACATCATCTCCATCCTCATCTTCTGCTTCTTCGTCCCCGTGCTGGTCATGCTCTTCACCTACGTGTCCATCATCAACACAGTGAAGCGAGGCAACGCCATGGCCGCTGAGGGAGACCTGACCGACAGGCAGAGGAAGACTGAAAGGGACGTCACCATTGTGAGTAGGATTCAAATCAAATCAACGTTTATTGGTCACGTACACATATTTGCAGGGGTTACTAGCTCCAAGAGTGCAGTAAGAATGTCTCGCAAATACACTACAAAAATCTAAACAAGAAATCAAGACATGACAGAGTGAGTCCAATAAACAATTCAGAGTAGATATATTAGAGTGAGCATGTGTCAGAATCCAGAAAATAAGAGATGTACAAACAATACTACATATAGACCAAGCGTTAAACGATGGGTTATGATTTAACGGTCATCCTAACTTTCGTTTTCTCCCAGATATCCATTGTCATCTGCACAGCCTTCATCCTGGCGTGGTCGCCGTATGCCGTGGTCTCCATGTGGTCGGCCTGTGGCTTCCACGTACCCAGCCTCACCAGCATCTTCACCCGCCTCTTTGCCAAGTCGGCCAGCTTCTACAACCCACTCATCTACTTCGGACTCAGCTCCAAGTTCCGCAAGGACGTCGCCATCTTGCTGCCCTGCACCGGCGATGGCAAGGACACGGTCAAGCTCAAGCGTTTTAAGCCGAAAGGTGAGGGTCACCAGGGCTCCGGAAGAGGCAATGGACTCAAAGCACCTCCTCATCACCAGAAGATGAAGGAGATGAAGTATGCCCCTGGAAATCCGTATCCGCTCACGGCGCTTAAGGCGGCCCCAAGCCCAGATTCGGGAGTGGGGAGCCCCCCCTGTACTCCTCCTCCTCCCGCCAACAACGAGGTGTTCTTTATCAACGTGCCCCATCTGTCTGATGGGCCAGAGTGGGAATGCGACAGACTCTAAGAACAATACATTTGTTTTTTGTGTTACTTTTTTATTTGAAAACACATGGGAATTTACTTGAAAGGGGGCTACTTGAATTTTAGGGGATCATGTTAAGGATAAATATTTTTGTATTTGATTTGTGTAAGTATGTATACCTGTTGATACAGTTAGTTATTTTCTTAATGAATTGTGTTTATACTTGTGAATAAAACTGTTTCTATTTAAAGGGAACAAGTTGAAAGATGTTTGCAATATCAATACTCATTCTGTCACTCTTTTAAAATATATATTTCTGTCCAACATAATAATTCAACCCCATGAGCAAATATAGGAGAAGACATTACAGAAATGTAAGTGTATCTCTTATGAAAATGCTCAATATATCCTACTGGCTCTGAGATGCTCAGCTCACGCATAGCCGACATACCAGTTCTAATGATAACTTTACTTGAGTGAGGCAGGCACGTCTTCATGGGCTGACTTGTTTTCGTCCAGTGAAAAAATAATCCATCTGTTCCCCCTCCTTCCAAGGAACTCCACACAAACCAACTTTACCTCAGGTAGGACAGGTGCCATAAGAAACAGTTGAAGTGAATTAAAGTGCATTAAACTTTATGATAGGCTACAAGAATAAGCTACAATACCCAAGAGAGCTGGACTAATACAAAACATAAAACGGATACGCCTGCAATATGCTCGCGCGTGGGACACGTTTATTAAGTCCGACATTGGAAAGAGGGAGAAAGTAAAAAATCATTTGAAAGGTTCTTCGAAGCCCCACAGGACAACAGGTTAGCAGATGTTATTTTTGTTTTCTTTATCTTCATGCTTCCTTCAACTTATTTGATGGTGTCTATTCAATAGTTTGATTGCACATTGTGCAAATAGCCTACAGCTTTTAACATTAAGGTAAGCAATTTAACATTTTGCCAAGTGTTGCAAGAATTCTCACTAATGGGGCGGCAGGTAGCTTAGTGGTTAAGAGCATTGTGCCAGTAACCGAAAGGTCGCTGGTTCTAATCCCCGAGCCGACTAGGTGAAAAATCTGTCTGTGACCTTGAGCAAGGCACTTAACCCTAATTGCTCCTGTAAGTCGCTCTGGATAAGAGCGTCTGCTAAATGACTCAAATGTACTTCTAATGTTTGTCTTGACATAGGCTATTGGTCTGCAGTGGACAATAGCCCAAGACACACTCTTAAAGGAAAACTCCACCCAAAAACTATATTTTGTTATTTGTTTCATTAGTCCATTGTTGACATAGTCCCAAAATGTTTTGCTTGTCAGCAATCAAGTTTTCAAGACATGTAACTTTCAAAATACAGAAATCATCCCTGTATGATGCTTTTTGCATCATATGAAGCAAATTGCATCATACGAGGTGATTTCTGTATTTTCCTTTAATGAGCCTACCATTACTCCTTAAGGTCCAAGGACCTTGTGTACTGAACAAAAATATAAATGCAACATGCAACAATTTCAAATATTTTACTGAGTTACAGTTCATATAAGGAAATCAGTCAATTGAAATAAATACATTAGGCCTTAATCTATGGATTTCACATGACTGGGAATACAGATATGCATCTGTTGGTCACAGCTACCTTAAAAAAAAGGTAGGGGCATGGATCAGAAAACCAGTCAGTATCTGGTGTGACCACCATTTGCCTCATGCGACACATCTCCTTCGCATAGAGTTGATCAGGCTGTTGATTGTGACTTGTGGAATGTTGTCCCACCTCTCTTCAATGGCTGTGCGAAGTTGCTGGATATTGGCCGGAAGTGGAACACGCTGTCGTACACGTCGATCCAGAGCATCCCAAACATGCTCAATGGGTGACATATCTGGTGAGTATGCAGGCCATGGAGGAACTGGGCCATTTTCAGCTTCCAGGAATTGTGTACACATCCTTGCGACATGGGGCCATGCATTATCATGCTGAAACATGAGGTAATGGCGCCAGATGAATGGCACGACAATGGACCTCAGGATCTCATCACGGTATCTCTGTGCATTCAAATTGCCATCAATAAAATGCAATTGTTTTTGTTGTCCGTAGCTTATGCCTGCCCATACCATAACCCCACCGCCACCATGGGACAGTCTGTTCACAACGTTGACATCAGCAAACCGCTCGCCCACATGACACCATACACGTGGTTGGCGGTTGTGAGGCCGGTTGGTCTAAAAAAAAAACGACGTTGGAGGTGGCTTAAGGTAGAGAAATTAAAATTCACTTATCTGGCAACAGCTCTGGTGGACATTCCTGCAGTCGGCATGCCAATTGCACGCTCCCTCAAAACTTGAGACATCTGTGGCATTGTGTTGTGTGACAAAACTGCACATTTTAGTGGCCTTTTATTGTCCCCAGCACAAGGTGCACCTGTGTAATGATCATGCTGTTTAATCAGCTTCTTTATATGCCACACCTGTCAGGTGGATGAATTATTTTGGCAAAGGAGAAATGCTCACTAACAGGGATTTAAACTAATTTGTGAAATAAGCTTTTTGTGCATATGGAACACTTCTGGGATCTTTTATTTCAGCTCATGGAACATGGGACCAACACCTCACATGTTGCATTTATATTTTTGTTCAGTGTATGATATCTTCAGAGGTAGACTCTGGCAGCCAAATACTCCATCTAAACGTGAATCGATTTTAAATTGCGATACGGTTCTAGAAACATAAAGCCCTTTACTTTCATATCACATCTAAATGCAAAATATACAGTTGCTGTACACTGTTTTAACCGGCTTTATCACAGTTGCAGCCGATAGTCTCCTTCCGTTACACATAGGTGTTCGGCGCATGTTAGATAGCTAATTAGCACAGGTGGTACCTCTGTCTTCCGTCTGTGTTCCGTAAACACGCAATGTAACATGGATATACACAGTGGCGGCTCCTGAAAAAATTCTCAGGAGGGGCAATTTTTCTGATGATTTAGGTGACCTACACACGTGCACGAGTCCGTGCACGCGATTCCAGATATCTTTACCTCTGAATAAACTGCCTTTATTATACCATATCCACCCTGTCCAAAGTCTCTACTTGGTCTCAGTTCTCCAGTAAACTTGTGATTATCAACAGTACACAACGGTAACAAACAATTGGGGAACTCACGGGGCAGATAGTAACCACTTAAAAGGAAGCGATTCCCAAACCTTCCATAACAAAGCCATCACCTACAGAGAGATGAACTTGGAGAAGAGTCCCCTAAGTAAGCTTGTCCTGGGCCTCTGTTCACAAACACAAACAGACCCCACACACAGCCCAGGACAACAACAACAACAACAACAACAACACAATTAGACCCAACCAAATCATGAGAAAACAAAAAGAGAATTACTTGACACATTGGAAAGAACAAACAAAAAAACAGAGCAAACTAGAATGCTATTTGGCCCTAAACAGAGAGTACACAGTGGCAGAATACCTGACCACTGTGACTGACCCAAACTTAAGGAAAGCTTTGACTATGTACAGACTCAGTGACCATAGCCTTGCTATTGAGAAAGGCCGCCGTAGGCAGACCTGGCTCTCAAGAGAAGACAGGCTATGTGCACACTGCCCACAAAATGAGGTGGAAACTGAGCTGCACTTCCTAACCTCCTGCCAAATGTATGACCATATTAGAGACACATATTTCCCTCAGATTACAGCGATCCACAAAGAATTCGAAAAAACAAACCCAATTTTGATAAACTCCCTTATCTACTGGGTGAAAAACCACAGTGTGCCATCACAGCTGCAAGATTTGTGACCTGTTGCCACAAGAAAAGGGCAACCAGTGAAGAACAAACACCATTGTAAATACAACCCATATTTATGTTTATTTATTTTCCCATTTGTACTTTAACTATTTGCACATTGTAACAACACTGTATATATACATAATATGACATTTGAAATGTCTTTATTCTTTTGAAACTTCTGAGTGTAATGTTTACTGTTAATATTTATTGTTTATTTCACTTTTGTTTACTATCTACTTCCCTTGCTTTGGCAATGTTAACACACGTTTCCCATGCCAATAAAGCCCTTAAATTGAATTGAATTGATAGTAAGGTCGCAATGACACAGAAAGCAGTTCAATGTCGGGGTACAGAGTCGCTCTCTTACCAGGATCGCGGTCCGCTCTGACCAGGGTGAAGGTGGCCGGCTCCACTTCTCTGTCCGGGACTCATCCAGCCAAGTCTCCCAGCTGTATTGGGATTCAGCTGCCAGCAGCGTTTTCATTATTTAGTCCGTTCGTAGCGGGTATGTACACGATCAACAAGATCAGTCCAAAACCAACCACTGGAAATCCATGGATATACAGTATCGTCGTCTGGGAACACTAACCCTAACAAGGTGTGTATCAATGTATCCTTTTGTTTTTTGAAAATTATTTCTCGAAGAAATGAAAGATAAGGTCCTTATTCTTCCAAAACCTTACCGCAAGCAATGCGTGTTAACAAAACTCCCCCGTACAGAAGACGCCTTCGTCCAATGACTCTTATGTGTAATGTAATGGGACTGAGAGTCATGATCAAGGGCTAGTAAGACAAGTGCGGACTTGAGCATAGCCTACTATGTGCTTTTCCTGTTTCCCATTTTTAAAGGCACACCCACATATTATAAGGTTGCTGTTAGGCCTGTTTTAACTCATTGGATAAAGTAAACATTCCAGTGTGCTTTTGAATCTGGTGAACTCAACATGCTGATTTCCAGCATTATCTGCTTTAATAACTCTTCTTATAAAATGATATAGGCCTACATGACTTGACAGACAGAAAAACATTAACTCATACGCCACTGTATCAAAACATGTGGGGTTGAGTCTTTACTTTGACAAAGGAATAATATGTTATACAATTTATTTTATGTATTATTCTTTATTTATTCATTGAGACCATGGTCTCATTCCCAACGGTGCCTTGATCACAACAATACAACAACCAATACAATGGCAATCAAAACAAAACATTGATGAAAAACTATTACAGTCCTAGG